AAAAAGTAGTAAATATTACTTGTGAACAGAATATTTTTCACGAGATTTTACTATATTTTATAGCATCAAATTATGCAAAAATAGTATTTGTATTTATTTAGGATGTATACGATTTATTATGTGTTTATATCATTCAGATTTCATTTTTCAATGTGTGTCTGTAATCTTTCATCAAACTTGCTCCGCCTCTCAAACGACTTTCCTTTTCAGCTGATGTCATCAAGCCCTCTTATTTTTAGCTCCTCCCCTTCAACCACCTGTCATATTGAGGCCATGCAGTTCAATAAAGGTCCCACTGAAAGTTCTGTTGTGGAAGTAAAATGGTTAGAACTGCATTTTATGTTGTCTTAAGGACACCAGCATTCAAAACTCAACATTATAGAAACAGCAGCCATGACTGTCTTCTCACAACAAACGTCCATCTCTCTTTCTCCCAAGCTCGAGTTACCCGCCTGCTCTTATCCTGCTTGATCTATAGACCTCCTTTTCTATTAGTCTGTTGTCTCCAGCCTCTGCGGGACTAGCGCTCACGTTATGTATGTTTCTTGTCACTCAAGTCCCTTAGTCCTTTCCATCTTGCCACATCTGTATCGAATCTCTCCGTTCGAATCTCTGGAGGCCATATCTTTTTCTTCCATTGACTGCTTCCCTTTAGCATTGTCTGACTCAGAGTTTTGAGTCTCTCTCACTCTCTCTCTGTTTTATTGAACTGTTCCTGTGCCTGGTGGGATGCGTGTGCTGTCTGCTTGACGGAGTCCACTAATATTCCTTAATGACGCAGCATCTGTCTCTGTCAACAGTCCGCCTTCATGGGCTGATAAGTGGAGCAGTTTTTCTCTCCGACGCGAGCCAGTTGCGTAAAAAAAAAGAGAAAACCTCAAACAAATATTTTTGCGACGAAAAAAATAAGACAAGTTTAAATTGAAACTCTTTTGCTGCTTTGTCTGTGGTGTTTGGAAAGGGAAACCTGCTGTCAGGTTGGGAAAGTAAATCTGCTGGAGTGTAATTGCAGGTACGGTCACGTCTGTTGAAGTGTTTACTGAGAGAGCTGTTTTAAGTTATCATCGTTTACTCATCCTCATGACTTTACAGTCCTATGACTTTCTTTATCCAGTACACAAAGGACATGTTTAGTATTTTTTAAGTATATTAATAAGCACATTTAGTACCATGACAGATAAAAGTGAGTAGACTGAACAAGTTATGGTAACTCAAATATTTGAGTAAGGCGATTTAAAAAACAATATTAATGAGTAAGTGAAATTAATTTATTATTATTAGCTAACAATATAATTTTTCTATTCTCAAATATGTTGATTGAAATTTAACAAATATTAGCTATATTATAAAAATAATGTATAGGTACATTCAAATATATGCATACATACAATACATATACTGTATATAAATATTTATATTTATAAATGTCATAAAAAGATAATGTCTTAGTCAAATACTAATACATGAAATTTGTGTGTGTATGTGTCATTTTTATGTTATAAATTTAAAAATCATTTTTTTATTTATAATTATTTATTTGTATTCCTATATATTTAAATACATAAATGTAGATAAATACATACAATACAGATACACAATGTAATATTTATATTTATACATGTCATAAAATATGATTTGTTTGTCAAATACTAATATATATATATATATATATATATATATAGTGTGTGTATATTATTTTATATGTATATTATAAATAAAAAAATGTATTTAAGTATATAAGAAAGAAATAATACATTATATAAAATAACATTTGTAATTATTGATTTTTTCTTATATAGTTAAATATAATATAAACAAATTATTTGTATAATGTATATAATTATTTATTTATGAATATATTTCAGAAAGAAATTCTTTTTTTTTTTATTAAATGATTAACAAAATGCAATATACAATGCAATTGGCAATAGTATTGGGGTGTAATTGATCTTTCCTTTCTTTCTTTCTTTCTTTCTTTCTTTCTTTCTTTCTTTCTTTCTTTTTTTCTTTTTCTCAGTGTCTGCATTTTGTGTGATCTCAGACCATATTTGAGCTTTTTCCCGTATTCTCTTTCTCTTTGCACCATCTGTGTGTTTATACTAACACAGTCCCAGTTTGGCATACTGGGACGAGTCTCTTCACTAATGAGACACTGTGTGTTTTGTTTCTGTCCTGTTATTGGAGATCACGCTAGTTTGTGTTGTGTGTGTTTGTTTGAGAGTGTCATTATGTACTTATGTGTGTGTGATGTGTGACTGCCAATGGGAGCATATTGAATTGGACGGGCTCTTGCTCGCTCTGGTTCAGTGGTGTGAGTGTGTTTGGCCCAGTTCATCTAGATCTCTTGGCCCGACCCAGACAGCAGACCCTCCTGCCTGCTGTTACTTCTTCCTCCATCTCAACACACACACACACACACACACACACACACACACACACACACACACAGACAGTCTAAAGTATATTATTTTCTCCACATTTTGACCTAATTTATTCTCCTGAAAGCTAAAGTCCATGAGTCACTCCAGCATTTCACACTTTACTGAATACAAATGTTTACAGATTAAATTTAAACCTGTTTTGTTAATAATAGCCTACTGCATCTCAATAAGGGAGGTTTAGCACTGGCTGTGTATCTAAATGCTGTTTTTCTTTTCCTTTGAACATATTGAGGGCATTTAAAATCCAAAAATTAAAAATAAGAAAGATTATTTATTGGTTCTAGTCACTTTTCTTTGCCTTATAAAACGTAGCCTATATAAAATGTAAATGTTATATAAATATAAATTCAACCATATGTTTTTCTTTTTTCATAAAAAAGTAATATAAGTAGTTAAATGTGTCATTTTGATTGGTGATCTTGTAAAGCAATTTAAGGCTTATAAATGCTTGATTTTTTTTAAATGAATGTCCAGCCTAAATGCATTTATTTATTTGTTTGTTTGTTTATTTGGGTGCGTTGAATGAGCTAGTAAAGGAAAAGCAGAAATCTGTTCAACATACATCCAATATAACCAATTGTTCAATATATATTCAGTATTTTTGATTTGTTTTATACTTTATGGTTTAGGTGCTTCCAAACTTTTGACAAAATTGATCTGATTTTGTGTTTTTAATGCTGTTATTGACCTTCCTGGCATTTAGGGGGCAGTATTTGTGTTCTGACAGAAATGCATTATATATTAGTTTTCATCACATCCTAAGACAGAAAGTAAACAATGAACATCTTAATTTGTGTGTGTGTGTACTGACTTTAAATTGGAACTGTGTTCTTGTTTTATGAGATTAGTATCTGGCATAACTGTGTGTATTTTATATCAAACACGCTAATGACTTTTTCAAGGGCTTTATAATTGTATTCCAAAAATAAAAAGTATCACAGTTTTAAAACTAGGTTACGCTAATGTCCCTTCCCTCTCCAATCGCCAGCCCATTCCATGCAATGGTTTCTCACAGACGCCAGTTCTGTCCCAGTTCACTCAAGTTGACGTAAAACGGTGCTTGTGTTTTAGCCATTATCTGGTAACAGGGGAACGTACAGCTTCAGATGCGGTGTTAGAGGCCAGAGCCCTTACTAAAGCCTCCGCCAGCTCTGTGTCTGTGTGTGTGTGTGTGTGTGTGTGTGTGTGTGTGTGTGTGTGTGTGTGAACGGATCCCTCTTTCTAGGGAGATTGCTATTGGCTTTTTGCCTAGTCCTCAGTATGACATAGATGGATTTGTTGGTAATGGAGTCCCTGGGGTGGAGGGGATAAGTGGGCGTCCCAGGGGGTCAGATTACGGTGGACGGCACGGTGGTGTGCTGAGTCAGACTGTAAGACCAGACCTGCTGTGTGTAAATCACTGCTGAAAAGCGCTGACATTAGGAACAATGCTGACCCATAAATCCACATCAGATTGTGTCCTGACTTGCACTCTTTTTCACTTAGTTTAACTGAATTAAATTCATGTTGACATGTTTTTTTAAATGCAACAAACATTTATGTTTGGATAAATGTCTATGCAGTATTTTACTGTTTTTTGATGTGTGGTTATATGAAATATATAAGCACACAGAAAATTATGTTGGAACTTTAAAAGTGTTATTTGGCAACTGGAGAATGAGTCATTGCATTTTGTTTAATGTATGTATGCTGACTTATTAGTATGTGATGTGTATATGCTACTGTCTTGGCCAGGACACTCCTATGAAAGATATTTTTAATATGAGAGAAATAAATGTTCTAATTGAATAAGTAAATTAAATAATTAAATATGTATTAAATACTTATATATATAATAGAACGTATAATATTATATTAATATGTTAATACACATTTTTATTAATAATCAAATGTTCATATATGATAAACAATGTTTTACTTGTTTTCATATGTTAATATTTATAATATTAAATAGTATATATAATGTAAATATTATTAATGATAAAAAAATTATGACCTATCTAAAATATATATTAACGAACAATATATAAATAAAGCATACTTATATATATAAAGTATGTTTTACATATATTACTGTTTATTTGTAATATTAAATAGTATATATGTACATTTATATAAATATTAATGTCTAATTGCATTAATAATAAAATATAAGATATATTTAAATATATATATAAAATATATGATATATTTAAATATACATAAAATAATAAGCTGAACAATTATGACATGCATGAAATGCAACATAACATCAATAGTGTAATGATTTTAGTCTTCTTTTTACTTGACGCATGTACCAGTAGACTAGTTTTATGCTTGCTCAACTTACTGGAACATATTAACTAAGATGCTACTATTTTAAGAGCTCATTAAAATGGTGATAAATGCTTTGAAATGGTATGCTTATATATTTAAGAAATTAAACCTTTTACTTATTGTATTTTTTTTCTAAATATTGAATTTCATATGTAAAATATCAAGATATTTTTGTCATTTTTGATGTGTTTGATCACAAAGGAAATCACTGCGTGCCTGACCTTTGACCTTTGCCTCCCACAGATTTATACTGACAAGAGAAATCATTTTGGTGTGGAGCGAAATACGCCCAAGCAGCTGGTAGAGAAGGTGGCAGGAGACATCGCCAAACTGCTCAACAGGAAACGCAAAGCTCTGGAGGTGAGCAGCACTAACAATCGCTCTCTCCCAGCAGGAAGTCGAGCCGTTGATAATCATGGTGTAAAACTCTTATCTGTTGCATTAAAAGGGGGAATCGATCCACTGTCTCTTTTAATCAGAAAAAAATTGGATTTCTAAAAAAAATATTATCAATGCCCACTGTTCTCTATTAGCCTGGTTAACTAAGCAGGTAATGAGTTTGTCTTCCTCCAATCTGCTCCCTCTTCAAATCCACAGGACACGACACAGCGACACATAAGATGAATTCAGGGATGAATGGAGCATCACATTTACACATTTCCATAAGAAATGCTATGGTACTACCGTGTTTGCACCATGGTATTCTTTGAAGATCTTGAAGTGCCTTTCGCTGTGTTGGTTTGAGTCTTTAGCGGCTGATTAAATCGTGTGGAATGTGCAGGCCCATGTGACAATTACAGCTGAAAAATGAGTGTTTATTAAGCTTCAGAAATGAATCATGTGTTTGGTAAGTAAAGTACTTTAGTACTTTTGACTAAAAGTAGCATATGAACACTGCCTGAGGTCTTTCACTGGTAGACACTCGGAATTTCTTATCATAAATTGGTGTTCGAGCGAGATTAGCTGAAATTCTCTAATGTGAGTCATGCCATGCAGACACGCAGGATACTCAAAATGACTGCTTCACATTCTAGTGTGCTACCTCCCTGAATGCTCCCTATTTTGTCAGCGACCTTCTAATGCATCCCAACTACACAAATGTTGCTTTGATAGTGCAGATGAGAGTTTTATTTACCTTGCTGAGAGTTTGCGTCTCTCTGTTTCTCTTTGAGAAGTGGCGTCACCTTATAAGTACCATTGCAAAAATATTAAGGCAGGTAAAAAGGGTAAATAAATGTATCCCAAATTATATTTTAACAAACCCATCTGTAAAACCTTCGGAATATACATAGAAAATATATAATGAAAACTGATTTTGAGAAAACGGCTCTTAAAGATGTGCATAGTAATTGAAATGTACAGATGCAAATAGATAAAGTGCAATTAAATAAAAACACAAAGATTTTGGATGTTTTTATTGCAATAGTCTCAAACACCACATTATGAAAAGCCAAAAAAAAAACTTTTGTCTGGTATACCCAAAACTGTATTAACAGTCTTCTATCAGCCAAGAGGTTGACTGAGAAAGCCAGAGAAAAACAGAAGCAGGAGACAAAGTAATGATGATTAAAAAAATGAGCAGAGTTTATTGAATAATCTTGGATGTATATGTTTCAGTGCTCAAACTTCTTGCCTTGAACCTGTTATTCGACTTCAGCTTCAGTATACTAGCTCAACAATTCTGGCCCATCCCTACCAGCTACTTTTATATTTGCTCTATTAATGAAAAATAGTTTGTTTACTATGTTGCTTGTTGATTGAATTGGAGTTCTGTTTAGAAAACACAATCAAACTATATTTCCCTCGCCATTTTGGATTCATTACAATGCATTTCGGAATTGGCTTTTCTGCGAATAATGCAAGTGATGCTGATTTAAATGTGTGCCGAAATGAGACATCTGGTAAAGCAATGTAATTTTGCTGCCTGCTGAAGAGTGTTGCTCGTTGCTGTCTTGCTAGGCGGCTCGCTAGGGTTTGGAACGGAGCTGATGTTTCAGTGCTATGGAATTGAGTTGGTTGGCCACAAAGCGGCAGTGCTCCGAGTGCTTGCGAGCAGCTTTCTTGACTGAACAGTTAAAGATAGGGCCCACTGCTATCGGGGCCAGCAGTATGCTGGCGACTAGACCCAACCATCACCCAAAGCCCAGCATACTCCCGACAACTGAGAGAAAGAGAGCGAGCGAGAGAAATGGAGAGAGAGAAAATGGGCCCAGAATGAGAACGGCCCTTCAGGCATCAAGAAATGCAGGGAAATTAAGTTCTGAAATCATTGATTTCAAAATGAGCAGCAGACGGGAGAAATCGAGAGGAAAGAGCGAGTGATGTAGGATGTAGAACAAGGTAAAGCAAGAGAGAACAAGCTAGAGGGGAACGAGGAGACGTCTTGTAATCTCATGATAAAGAGTTGGAGGGGATGAGTTTTGACTGTTTAATAGAAGCAGAATAGATGGATCATATTAAATCTTGTATTGTGATTTATGGCTGTCCGCACAATTTAATCAGTGTTTGAACATCAACAAATTAGCTGCGATATTATAATCTTTCACACATTAAAAAAAAAATACATTTTTTAAAAGCGTGCACAGAATCAACAGAATTTGGGAAAGCCATAGTGAAAAATCATAAGCCATAATTAAAAAATGCATTAGGGTTTTCTACAATAGTTATTAATTTTGGTTTAATGTATTATAGAGTTATTTAACTATTTTATATAGAAATTTCTTTTCAAAATTGGGTAAAAGAAATGCATTTAAGTTTCTACGGAATAGTTCAGAAGAAATTAATTTCCCGTTTCCAGCAGAAACTGGTCCACACCTGCGTTGACCTGTTTATTCGCACCTGCTTCTTTAGGTCACTGCTAATGAGTGTGATAGATAGACCCTGCGCCCCAATTCACATACTATCTGCCCTAAATAATATCTGAGATTAAGATTAGTGTGTCCCAAATCGTAGTCCGTTGAATATAGTTCACCAAAGCTGCCAGGAGGGTGTCATTTTTCCAGCGGCTTTATTAATGAGCAGAAATGCAAGCAGAACGAATGTCTATGTAAATTATTTGTTAATCCATTCTTACGTAAATTTTCACAATGGATTATGTTCGTAAACAATTCTTATATAATCTCTTTGAATTGGCTCTGTACATTGCCAGTTTCTGTGTAAATCATTCAGAAAATCAACTGTTCAAATTTTTGTGTAAATAGTTGTAAATTGTTGCATTGAATTGATTATGTACATAATCAATGTCTGTGTAAATTGTATGTAAAAATTCACATGTAAATTGTCGCTTTGATTTGGCTTTGTACATAGAAAATTTCGGAGTAATTAATTCATAAAATCACATCAAATCATGTGCATAATAAAATTGTGTAGATTGTCTGTACATTATTTCAGATTGTTTGCTTTGAATTGGCTGTATAAATGGAGCATGTTTCTACATAATCTGTTCGTAAAATCATTCTCACATAAAACTAATGCACATCAAATTTCTGCATAAATAGTTCAACAGTTCATGCTCAAATATATTGTCACATTGAGTTTATTATATGCATAACATATTTCTATGTAGTACAATTTATTTGTAAATTGTCTCTTTTAAAAGTGGCTGAATTTGAATTGTTCGTAGTGAAATAATTTAATTTATTGCATAGAATTATGTGCATAATAAATCTGCATCATTTCTTATGTAAATTGTTGCTTTTTAATTAGCAAATTTTTATGTCAATTGTTTGCAAAACAGCATAGAATTATGTGCATATTAACTTCTGTTCTTATACGTTCATCAAGCATTTCTTACAAAAATTGTTGCATTGGCTTGATTGTGCACAACACATTTTTATGTAAACCGATTTCAATTCTTACATAAATTGTTGCATTCAATTGCATATATAACAAATTCCTATGCAAACTTTTGTAAAACCATTCTTACATAAATGGTTGCATTCAGTTGTTTCATGAAAGAGATCCCTCTGCTCTACTTCTTTCCAACGTTTTTTGTGTGTCTCCCTTGTTTTACTCTAGAGGCTCGAAGTGCATTTGGGTCAGCCATGTTGTCTTGAAACGAGTCGCTTCCTGTCTGGTAGTTTTGCGGCTGCATTTAGTAGCATTTTAATGATCCGAGACAGACTCCTCATGAAGGGCTGATGTTGTGCTCGTGTAGAGATGGAACGCCCTGACTGTTTCTGCCCGTGTTTGTGTGTTAGTGTCCCGCCGTGTATTTTTAGAAGCTCTTAAATCTTTATTACTGTGACCGCGGTGCGTGTGACTGACAGATGTCAAGGCCGGGTTGGGGAAGCTGTCATGTAAACGAACAGTGTTGCAGCCGCACGGAACACAGCTGAGCTCAGCTTTGTGTCTCTCGCCCGCTCTCTCTCTTTTGTGGATTGCTTCCCAAACCAGCTGATACTGCAGAACAGAACCTGTCAATCAAACTCAGAACATGGCATCACTTACATTGTCACTTACAGGCTTGTGATGTCATATTCTCCTTCTCCTAATACAAACTAATGCAGTCAAGCAGACTAGTAAGCATCATTTCCAATGGCTGGTGGTGTGTGTGCTCATATATGATGTAGATTGTGTATGATTGACCCTGATTAGGACTGTTATGACGAACTGGATCGTATTAACTGGACGTTGCGCAGATGCAGCACGTGACCGGGCGAATCGGGCCATCTTTGCTGTGAAATCCAGTATGACATTGTGGAAGCAGACACACAAGGGAAGAAGGGGTTTGTCATAGCGTACTGTATTACAGCGCACACACTTCATCATATCGTGATTTGGTTTTTTTGGACTGAGGTACCCTGGTGGGCTCTGCTCTGCCTGCGTTTAATTGGCCGGCCCCACTGATCTTCGTACGTGCTAAATTTAGTCCCGTGCTCTCTGCCGCCCCTAAAAATAAACACACAATTAATTACTCCTGCTGTTTCACTAATGAGAGGACGGTTTTGATCGGCCTCATCAGACAGGAAATACTCAGTAGGACAACACAGTGCTTTTGTGTATCTGTAGGGGCACATTAACAAGGACGGGCAACGCTTTATGTTAACTTTGTTAATTACGGTAACAAACATTACCGTGAAAATAAATAGCCCTCACTCTAAAAATAAATAAATAAATAAATAAATACTTCTATATACTACACTACTGGAACAAAAGTTTTTAATGCTTTTGAAAGAAGTCTCTCATGCTCACCAAGTCTGCTTTTTTATTAAAAAATACAGTAATATTCTGAAATATTATTACAATTTAAAATAACTTTTCCATTTTTAAAATTGAAGTTTGTATTGTTTTTTTTTCGATTTAAGGGGGTCTGAATACTTTCCGTACCCACTGTATTTTCATGCCATATTACATATCAG